GTAAAACAGTCAGAGGGGAGCAGTCGATGGTGACCTCAGTAGATCGAGAAGTCAGTGGATTAATGCCAGTGAGCTTTTACGTGGAATGAATTCACAGGGCAATTACCATTGCTTGGGGCTTAGAAGAGATAATTCACAATGTGGGCCAAGTTTCTTTTCTAAGCATGAACGTCAAATAAACTTGCAAGAATAAAGCTACCTCAGGATAGATATCTAGATGTGTGTACTTTGGTTAAAAAAAGAAGGGGAAAAAAGGCACAAGGTTACAACAATGACATTGCTAGAAATGTTTTAACCAGTATCTTCACTTGGTAGCAGACTTCTTGCCTCCTCTCCCTTCCCCCAAAATCAACAGAGACAAAGCAGCCAGTACATTAGTACAATCATATTTATTACAGCTTCCAGACTCCCACATGACACATATCTAAAGCAGAATACTGCAAACTGACGTTACTAGCAGCAATTCTCCCTAAACAGGAAGGGGTTAGCTGAACTTAATAATTAGGAGTGATTTCAAGACAAGATTATAAGTCATGGTTTTTCATTCAGCAGCTGGTATATGAATAGAAAAACTATAAATTCATATAGTCATCCAGATTGAGCCCTGTCTAAAAAAACATTAAATATTTGCAGAGGGGTATCCCCAGGGTAGCCCAGAAGGCTATGTCTTTAGATGTCAGTAAATCACTTTTTAAGACATCACTTACTATCTACTTTATTGACAGGACAACAGAAAAAGGACTGGACAGCAGCCCTAGAGTCTAGCTCACACAGAATTCAGTCAGATAATCACGGTTTAAATAATATCTGTTAAACACTTTTATATATTTTCCCCCACAGCTCAAAAAACATAACATCAGACATTTGCTCAAAGGACTAAAAATCAAAAGCAATTGCATGTACTGGGAATAGCTTTTGTAGCTTTCCTGAGGGAGTGTTCCCATCTTTTCAGTATTTTTAAAGGAGCACTAACTCTGGCTGCTTATCAGACTACTCTTTATTCTAAAGAAATAAAAGACCAACTGAAGGTCTCAGGTGTACTTTTGTCACCCTCGATCTCCGAATCATCCAAAGCCATTTCTTGACAGAAAGCTTTCATTTTTATTAGAGGAGTGCAAGAGAACTTACAAACATTTGAAAAATACTCAAAACATTGAGAGTAAAGAAGGCCCAACCCTTCCTCGGAACCCAGGAAACTGACAGAAACTCCAAAGGCTTATCTTAAACACATCGCTCAATATGTCAGAAAGCAATGACAGACCACCCACCTTAGCAACACAAGCCCACATAGTATTTTTTTTTTCCTTTACAATCACTAAGAAAAGCCTTTTGGGAGTTACTGCCCTAAAAAACACAGGCTGATGAACAGAAATTAGTGATAAGGAGTTGAATGCACAGGAAAAGAGAAATTAAAACAGTTGGGAAACCATTATATTTATATCATGATACACTTACATAAACCTTGACCTGAACCACAGAAATCATTTCATTCATTAAAAAATACACAAAGAACTGGAAAACTTTAGGACAGCTAGCTATCTTTGAATAATTTAAATTTTTTTCTAAAGGCAAAATTTAGACAAAATTTAATTAAGTAATTTACAAAACCTATTTATTTCATTATTTTACCCATGTCAGCTACTATAGGAATAGTGCAAATAATAAATATAAGTATCTACTCTTCATCAAGTTAGGTTTCTATTTTTTCTCAAGGGATAAAAGCAGTACACCTGCTTTCCATAAGGTTTCTGAGGATTAAGAGCAGCTCATGGCTCATGACCTGACAATCTCTAAAGGTGCTTTTAAGACTACTTCACCATGAAAACAGATGAACCCCTCTCGACTCACTAACAACTCAGAGCAAGGACTCCTATCTAGACTTTAGTGTTAAAGGTTTCTAAGCTTTCTGGCTTGACATGCGCATGCACAGAGAGCAGGCAGGGTACTGCTTAGGCACTGCTAACTCTGGCTCACCATCTCACCAGCGACCTACCTCTTTTATAAGAGGTCTCTGAAAGGAAGACTAAATGCTTCCCAGATACTAAAATGAACAACCTAAAGTGCAAGTTTGCCTTGTGGTAGAGCAGTAGAATCATCTCTCTGTACAAAGAATAGCACATGAAACTATTCTGGGTGTAATAGCATAGCTTCAATTTCTCAATCCCTTGTTCTTATGTAACAAAGCTGGAAACTCCTGAAGGGATCTCAGCAGGTATGCCCTGTGAAATGTCCGGAAAACACATTCCCATGTTTAGAGATTACTTTGAAGAACCAAAATGGATGTTCAAAAGTAAGTACTTATTCTACCAATTTTCCCAAATCCAAATCTCTGGGGAATACTAGAAACCGGTTTTGCTGACCTGCAGCGGCTTAAGAGCCCCCTTCAAGTGGAGGGGCCCCCAGGTCTCTACCATTCTAGTGGTTACTCTCCTCTTGAGGAAGCTGTCAGTGGTTTCCATAGCAACTTACTATAATATCCTAGATGATCACATTTTTTGAGCAACATAAATATTGTTAGGACCTATTTTTTCTTCCTTATGAAAAATTTCTCCAATAATAAAGAAAAAGGCTATGATTATAAAAAACTAACTTCTCTAAAAAAAGTATGCTTTGTGCAAAATAACACAATACTAGATAGTCCATTCATTCCAGGATCATTGTCTAAAGCAAACAAATAAATGGGCACCTAAGCTATATCACATTAAAATTTTTCAGAGCCAGAATTGTTAAGTTGGGCAGAAAAGCAGTAAATCAACCCTTACATGAATATATAAAAAATATATACAAACATTACAGCATTATACAAAATAATTTAGGTTAAATTTAATCAGGCACTAGACTGAAACAGAAATTGATTATATTCCTTTTGATTCCAAATTTCTATTTTACTGGAAAAATCTAATATCCATTACAGCTTCTAGCTAAGGAACACGAGGGCAGACAGATAGGACAGCCAAACAAGGGAGACGAATAAAGAGGTAGAGGCAGGGTGCCTGATGATTAAACAAGACAACTATTAATTGGGGAACTGAAATTTTAGACACATTATTTAGAAGAGATTAGATTGGCAGATTCCAAAGATGATGGTTAAAGTTTGTGATCTGGAACCTCTCTAAATATTTAGTACATCCGCTCTGGCTCTGAAAAACATATTTGAAATGCATTTTAAAATAAAATCAAATAAACAAAACAATTTCTACAAATTCCCTTTTAGGGATGTGTTATTTTTAGATGCTCATTCTCCCTTTGGTATTATCATACAAACAAATGAGAAGTTCAGGGGAATTCTTTCTGAAAATGATCAGAAAGGGTAGGGGCTAGGATGCAGAGGAATAGCAAAGAAATGTTATTCTCCTCTCACTCAAGATGTTCTTCTGAAATTTCCACTGTCCTTTAGGAGAAACGAATGGAACATGGCTAATAGTTCCTGATGATACCGCTGCCTTCCGATCACAGCAAGATCATACTTATGACACCTACAGAGATTATCTGCCTTGCTCATAAGCATTCTAACCAAACCATGAAGTAGTAAAAATGACTCATGATTTCTAAACATTTTTAGAGTCTTTAAAATGCCTTCCTAAAATTCTTTGCCTCAGTGCTCCTGTGAGGTAGGTGTCTGATGGACAAAAAATGAGGCTCTCCTTTCATTATATGATGAGCCAGTGACCCATCTAGCAGAAGGACCAGGTGTCTAAGTTACACAACAAAAACAGCAGGGGAAATTTTTCTTTCCAAGCATTTTAATTAGTTAGCTATTTCTTATTCATACTTCAAACATGAATTATCTAAAACAAAATATAAATTAACAAAACAAAACAATTCAATATTACCTAACAGTCTGTAGCCTATTCTGCATTGGTGACTGAGAAAGCATATAGCATAATTCAAGTAGTACTGGAGAGTGCTATGGTATTTCTGCTACTGAAGCTGGCTATGAGTAAAGTGTCCCTTACAAACACACCTACTCTAGTTTGTAAGAACCTCTTTGGTCTGACACAGGGAATAAAACTACTGCTGCTGTCTCATGAAAACCATTCTGAAAGATATTCTACACAGGACCAGCCCTGCCTGGAAAAGGGATTCTTAGCTGTATGATGCACGTATATTACTGAGTTCATGCAGCACTCTTTGAAGATCAACATGAAGGTCACAGTCTCTTGCCATAAAGCTTATAGGACAGGTCACAGAAAGTCAATACACAGGGTACATGCACTAGCATTATGCCACAGAAGTTAGAAAGACAAGAAGCCACCACATGAGCATTTTATAGTTCCATCTGGTATGCCATTCACAGAAGTTATCTCTGGTAAAGGAAGACTGCTGAGGTCCCACATTCCTTTCCATAATAAGGAGAGGGATAAAAATCAGGGCATTCATTGCTGGCTGCTTTAAGCATATCAATTGCTCAAATTTTGCCCTTATTTAAATTGGTAGCTTTCTTAGATCTTATAGATATCCAAAGATAATAGATTACGTTTCTTGATTAAGAGAGAATGGTACAGAGCAAAATTCAACAGTTATAAAAGGTTGGTGTAGGGTTCCATGGCAATTTATACTACTACTCTTAGAATCAAATTTGTGAGTATTCAGAGTACTAGCTTTAAAATGAGATCATTCTTTTCGAGGTGCGTGTCTTTCCTCTACACTAAAGAGTGTGGAATGAATTTAATTCATACCATAACCCCTGATTCAAATGGAAGATCATATATTTGGTCTGAGTGTCAGAGGTAGAGCATGATACTAAATCAGATGTGTGTACTCATATGCAGCCAGGTATTACGGTTTTTATATTAATGCAAACAACCCATCCTCCCAAGACCTGTCTCCCTTGAGGGAGCGCATCTCCCAGAGAGCCTGAGCCTGGTTCTCTCTTCAACATATGCAGTACCAGAGGGGATCATTCCAACTCAGGATTTCGCTGGGACACTAGGATACAGCATAGCAGCAATTCATGCATTTTGTTTCTGAATACGAAAGCTCAAGTGAAGCAGAGCTGCTCACTGTGCAAGATGAACTAGCAGGACATTCTCGCCTCGAATGAAAATCTGATTTATGTGTCTAGTGAATACCTGCTGGTAATCTACTTTGGGCTTTCTCTTTTTCTTACGGGACTGGCCCCTAGAAAGGGTAGTAGCTCTGGAAAAGGTACCTCCCGCACTAGACCCTTCTGTCCGAACAGTTCTCCCTGACAGCTCTGACCTGGACTCCCTTGTAGACGCCTGCAGGGAAGAAGGAACGGAGCGGGAATATTTGCGTGAGCCCCGGTCAGTGTCTTCTCTTCCCCACACGGAGGCTACCTTCCAAGTGGATGTCTGCGAGTATCTGGACAGAGTGGAGTCTTCAACTGCAGACTTAGAATCTGCCTCCTTCTTGGAGGAATCTTGAAGTTTTAGTCGATCAAATAGCTATAAGAAAGCAATGACAAATATTAGCCTTAAACATCTTTCAATATATGGGGGGTGGGGGGAGTGGGGATAAACCAGATTCCTCAATTATGCTCTGTGGACAACTTGCTTTGCAATTTTTAAAAAGTTAGTAATGAATTTCCTATTTCTACCTATAACTCAGATAAATCAGTAAATATGTCAAGAGAAAAGGTACCGGCTTATTTCTACTGGATAAAAGAGACTTTTAAGCCTTATAAAAGGTAACTTGTTGCTCAAATAATATGCAGGTCTGAAGCACAAACTCATTTGAGATTGGAAAAATGCATGAGAAGAGAGACTAAGGAAGACTTTGGTCTAGGCATGCCTGGTTGACAGCATCAGGGCTTTCCCACTATGAAACACTGCTCACTGGGCTCAGTGATCTTAATGCCTAAGCCTGAAAGTGTGCTGGGTACTCAGGAAGTCAGGAGAAATTGCCTACCCTCGTGAGAGTCAATGAAGAATCCCGCTCATATGCTTTGCCTAGAACAGGCTTTCGGTAGGTCTCATCCACATCAGTAAGTGCCTAGAGAAACAGCCCAAAGGGGGGAAATGAGGCAGAGTTAAAAATATTATCTTTATAGATTTCAGAAAAAAATATTTTAAAGGCAGAATAACATCTAATTGTAGTAGAATTAAACCTAAATGAAGCAGCTCTTTGGCAGGAATAAAAAGGTAATACCTGACACCCTCTGAGTAGGATTTCCAAGTGGCCTATGACCATATAAGACAAGTTTCATCTGTGGTAAGGAGCCTTTATAGCTGCACAGTTCTTAAATTTCACTGTTCATAAATATCCAGGAAGCTCATTAAAGTGTGAATCCATAGCTACTACTCTCCTAGAGATTCGGATTCAATAGGTCTGGGAGGAAGCCCAGGAATTTTCTGTTTTAACCAGAAACCCCAGGTAATTCTGATGCGGGTAGCTTTAGGCCATATTTTGAGAAACACTTTACTGCGTCTTTTCCCTTTCCAGTTTCTATGTTTTGTGACAGAAATTAACAGAGACTAAACAGAGTTACAGACTGAATTGCTGATGAATTGTCACCATTGAGAGATCAACCGCACAGGACAGCTGTTAGGATTTAATGAGATTGTGTATGAGAAGTTACTTTGAAAAGTGTAAGTATAATATAAGCTGACAATATTATTATCAGCACTATCACTACATATGTTCTCTTAAATCCTTTTCCTTCAAAAGTAAAATTATAATGATAGTAATAATAAAATTCTTACATTTTAGAGGTGAGAAAACTGAGCCTCAGAGAAATTACCTTGCTGAGAGTCACACACTTACCAAGTGGTAAAGCTAGGATTAAAAACAGGGTTTCCGACTCCAGAATGGTTAAAAGCTTGGTTTTAGAAGTCAGAAAGATATATAATAAAGTCCTGGTACTTCCACTTACTAAGAGTGTGATCTGTACCAATCTTCCAAAATCTGTAACCTCAATTCCTTCATTTGTGAAATGGAACAGTAATAGACCTACAATTCACTCACTGAGATAATATATGTAAAGTTCTTAGTATAGTATCTGGCACATAACAAGTGCTTAGTACATATCAGCAACTATTATTATCATCCAGGGGAATGCATGGATGGAGATAAAGAATAAGGAAAAGTTGGAGATGAACAACCATATGGAAAAGAAACTAGAAGCCTAGTGGTTCCTATTTTAACTGATAGTTGTGCTATAATACATCCCTACTTTCCTTCAAATATCTAATAAACAGTAAGCCTCTAGGAGGCTAGGAGTGTGTGGTACACTCCTTCATAAGGAAAAAGCATGTAAACTAACTTGCTTATTAATATGTCTGCTCCCCTTCAATCCATATATATCTTTCAAAAACGAGTAGCATGAAAATTTCTTTCTGAAACTCCTGTATTTAGCACTGTGTCCAAAGTGGAACATAAATATTTTTAATAGGAAATCAATATAAAATTACTAATAAGTAATTATTGCTAAATAATTAGGGTTTCTCAATCTTGGCATTAAAAAGATTCTGCACTGGATAATTTTTTGTTGTTGGGGGTGTCTATGTATTGGAGGACAAGCAGCAGGATCCGTGGCCTCTACCCACTAGATGCCCGTAACACCCTATCCCACAGTCATGATAATCAAAAAATGTCCCCTGAGGGAGAAAAAGGCAAAATCACCCCTGCTGAAAGCCACAGCCTTAAGAAAATAGAAGCAATATGAGAAACTTTTTGTTGTTGTTATTTCTCAAGAAAGTGTAGATTCTAGTTCTCCTGGGAAGTTATCCTGTAGGTTTCTCTGAATAAGGTTACTCAGGATCTTTAGATTTATAAAAGATTTAATCCCCAAGAGGTTCTCCAGCACCCTAAGGAGGGTTTAATTACCATATTCCAGAACTTGTCAAATGCAACCAGGAAGCCTGTACAGACGCCCCGAAGTCCCTTGAAAGTGCGGATGTGAACATTCACCTTCACCCCCTCCCGGATACAACGATGGAGCTCACCCAGAGGGCTGCCTTCGTGCACTGCAACGAAAGAAGAATAGTTACATCACATGAACATATGCTCTAATTCCCAGAAGTAACAACCAAGACCACCCATCCCCCCCAATACGAGGCAGTATGGTGCAGTGGCAACCTCACTGTGGGAACAGGAAGGCCAGTGGGCAATATGGCTGTCAATGGGCAACACACACTGAAATGAGACAAGATTCATAATGTGGATAAACCATCTGAAAGGCTATCATCTAAAATTTTCACCTCTCTATATCCCATAGCCTATATACATACACACTGCTCTCCCTACTCCCATACACATATGTGTTTCCACGAAGAGAAGAAAGACCATTCTTTTTCTAACTTGGAAAAAAATAAGTACACTTCTCTCACACCCCAAATCAAAAAGACAAGCTTGTATCTTAACAACAGTCTCTTATTCTAATGGCAAATGGTAAACTCGGGTCTTCAACTCTCACATTTGTGTCTTTCTCTTGATTTTTTTTTTCTTTCAAAATTTAATAAGGTGTAATTACAGGAAGCATGTCTCTCCTTCTGATCAAAGGTGCAACACTAGCACCACCTATTGGAGCAAACTGTCAAGGCAAAAATGAGCTCTGCATTCTGAATCAGAATGCACATTCTGAATCTCTTTCCAGAAGTCTCTGTGATAAATTCCAAATAGATATGAGCTAAGCTTATAAAAACTAAATATGGCCAATGGGAGAGAAAAAAAGCCTCATTTGTGCAGTACTTTTTCCTTCCGAATCCTCCTCCCTTTCCATAGCCACTATGCGTGGGCCACATCCTTCCAAGTCCAGGTCCCTTTTAACTCCACTCCTTACTTCTCCCTGCTCATGGCAATCATAAAACTCAGACAACAGATTCTCAGTAACTAAGACCTTTCTCCTTCCACAACCAATCACATCATCATCATCACAGTCACCATCATTATCACCAATTACTGAGCCTTCAGTGAGGCCCTGTCCTATGCTAAGTTTAACTTTATGTACATTATTTTACTTAATCCTCACAACTCAGAGGTACTCTCACTTCCCCTCATTCTATAAATGTGGAAACCAAGGGTCAGAAAAGTTTAAATAATTTGCTCTAAGTTACTTCCCTAGTAAACAGCTGAGCCAACATTCAATGTCAGGTCACATGCATCCTAACTTAGCGCTTTTAATTATGGCAGTCTAATAGTGATTTTTAACATTCACCGAGAATTTCCCTATATGCTAAGGAAGATTACCGTTGTAAATGCTTTAAATTTGTTAACTAACTTAAACCTAACAACAACTGGTGGATTCTATCATTGTATTCATTTCACAGATGAGAAAATTGAGGCCCTCAAGAGTTTAAGTAACTTGCCTAAACCAGAACAGCAACAAAGGGGAGGAGCCAGTGTTCAGATGTAGACAGTCAAACTGTGTTCCACTCTACCCCCAAATAACTTTACCTCTAGAAACTTAGCTCCTAGAAACATCTGCCCTAAAAGTGCCTTTGCTTAAGAAAACACACCATGGTTCCCACTCTCTATCATCACAAAGTGAAACAAAAAAATCTTTGGTTTGGTTCGTCAACACATTCTAGCAAAATCCTTTGCTGAACCCAAATTCCACTCTCTTTGTTTTGGACACAAATCCTCTGCCTCAAGTATGCATCACCCTCCACACACCAAAAGCAAGCAAACATTACAATGTGCTCTCTTCTTCAATTTCCTGAGACTAGCATAATGGGTAAGCACATACCCGAAGTTGGGACAAACCCAGGATTCTCAGCTTCAAACTAACCAGTTATGTGACCCTAGGCAATAACGGGTAATAACTGAGACTCAGTTTTTTCATCTATAAAGTTGTTTCTAAGGGTAAAATCAAATATAATGCATCTAAAGGGCTTAGCAAAGTGTATAGCACATATGTGCTCAGTAACAGTAAGTATACTTAGCATCACTAAAATTATCACCTGACTTATAAAGGGGCATGAGGAAATTTTGGGGGGATGGAATTATTCTGTATCATGATTGTGGTGGTGATTTCAAAACTCACTTTATTTTTTTATATCTTTTTTATTATTATTTTTTCACAGAGAGTAAGAGAGAGGGATAGAGTCAGAAACTTTGATGAGAGCGAATCATTGATCAGTCGCCTCCTGCACACCCCCCACTGGGGACCGGGGACGTGCCAGCAACCAAGGCCCTTGACCAGAATCGAACCTGGGACCTCACAGTCCGCAGGCTCTATCCACTGAGCCAAACCAGTTTCGGCTCAAAACTCACTTTAAAAGGTTGTATTCTGCTAAATGTAAATTACACCTCAATAGCCTGATTTTTAAATAATTACTGTTATCCGAAATCATGCCCCTCTTTAACTTCAACACCTAAAGCTTACCTCTTTTAGGATCGCTTTCTGGAATAAAACTAATCCTCACCCATGTTGGGGGGTGGGAGATGGGAGAGTTGTTGGTTTGTTTCTGTTGCTGTTTTTTGCTCTCTGAATGTCAGCAACTCTTTGTGATGCCCACCCACCTCCACCATGTACGCTCAGCTGTTCCCAGTGGCATAATTAAAATTTTCAGTGTCTAGGGCACGTTCTCTGAGACCTTGACTCCAGGCATACATTTAATTGTGGGAAGTCGACAAAGGTGGTCTTCACACTGTAAGAATAATACAGCAAAGTGCGCTGTGGGTGAGAGTAAAGCCACCCACTACACCGAAGTATTTCTTTTCCTCAACAATCTTGGTAGCAAAGCAATAACTGGCAAGATGGAAACGAATGTTACGTTCTAAGTCCGATGTGGCAAAAAAAAAAAAAAAATGCAAAATCGGGTCTCCCCAAACGGCTCTTATTTTAAGAACATGAAACTCCATCTTTGTGTTGCTGCTGGACAAGCAAGCTGGGGTGAACCCTAATCCTGGGCAGGGACGTTCCCACATGGGTGGATCATCTGACAAAGACACCCCTAACAGCACACAGCTTTTCTGGATGTTTCTCTCTTAACGAACACATTTCTAGGAATAAAACAAAACATACCCCTGCATAGCATAACCCTCCATTCCAAAGGCAAGTGAGTGACTTAACAATGTCACAATTTAGCTTATAGGGGGTACAGATGCTCTGAATGGCTAAGTAGGTCATTGCATCCACGGGGCAAATGTCAGAACTGCTTGCCAGATGACAAAAGATATATAACCCTGGGCTATTTTTATTCTGCTTACAGGAGACCTAACTCACGAGACCTAACTCACACATTAGCAACCTCTGCTGTTTACAGCTTTCCTCCAGGGATCTATTAGGAGGCTCCTGGGGAAATTCCCCTGAGCCATTTACACCTTCAGAACTTAAAATAACCTGTGCTTATGGTAATAAGAGCCTGACAGACAAAGCCTGCACCCAGCCCAGCAGAGGGGCTGTATGTGTCTTAGTGGCATGTGTGCCTGCTGCATTCTAGCGCGATTTGGCGAAGTGAGCGTATGTGTGTGTGTGTGTGTGTGTCAAGACCCTGCAACCCTTCTCCCGCTTAGAGCACCCCACAATGAGCCGTTGCTTAATGTGCTATTTGAACAGATATCCCTACACTCCATCCTCTCACCCCCACATCCCCCTGACCACTCCTTCCCCTGGCACTGCCTGTGCGCCACCTCTTCCTCCGTCCGTAGTCCCCAAGCCCTCTCATCACGCCTGCAAAAAGCCTCCCTGCGCGGTCCGGGCCCCGCCGCCTCTGCAGACCCGCCCGCCTGCGGATCCTCTGCAGGCGCCTCCTCGCCTCTCCCGTGGACCCCGCCTCCTCTGCAGACCCACACCCATTCCCACGCCGGCCCTCCGGCTCCCGGGGCCTCTCCAGCTCAGGCAGACCCTTCGTGACCCCAGACCACCGCCCCATTCCCCCATCATCACTCCGGCACGACCTACCCCGCCTCCCGGCCGCTACATCCGCAAACCTGCCCCGGGGCCCTCCCCCTCACAGGCCGAGCCCCTGCCGTCCCTCCCAGGCCCCCTCGCCGCCCCCCGGACTCACGGGGCATCCGCGTGAGCACGTTGCGCGGCGCCCGGCGGCCCCGGCCCGGCGCGCGGCGGCTCTCCCCGTCGGCCGCGTCCCCTTCCTTCCTGACCACCATGAGGCGGCGGAGGCGCTCGACGCGCTCGGGGTCCGGGGCGGGGGCGTCCCGGCGGCGGCGGGTCCTGCTCGAGGGTCCGGCGACGGCGGCGGCGGCGGCGGCGGGGGCCCCCGGGGCCGGGTCCGCGCTCCGCGCCCGCCCGCGCCCGCCCCGGCAGCCGGTCCTGAGGAAGGTCTCGTAGGCGGCCACGTTGTTGAAGCAGGGCGCGTTGGGGTAGGGGATGGGGGGCAGGCACGGCGCGTACAGGGCCAGCAGCGGGTCGAAGCGGTCAGACTTGACATCCAGGCGCGGGCTGGGCGGGCGCGCGGGGCTGCCGGCGCCCGGCGACCTCGCCCCCCACTCCCGCTCCCGCTCCTCCATGTTTGAAAGGCCCGCAAGCGGAGGCCGATGGGAAGGAGGAGCGGGGCCGCCAGAGGGCGGCACTGCGCAGCCGCGGGGCGGGGCCGCACTGCGCCGGCGCGGCCTCCGGGGGGCGCACTTGTCCGTGGTCTGCTTCGCTGGGGGCGGGGCGCCTCAGCCAGGGCCGGCCCCGCCCCCTCAGGGCCTCAGCAGGCGGGTGACAGGTTAACCTGCTTTAATGCAATCTCCCCATCTATATCATTATCTAGGATGTTTGTTAACACTCCAGATTCCCCGGGGTCGAGCCCCGAACCAGTGTGTTACCAAACTTCCAGGCGTTTCTCTGCTCTCATGAGCTTGGCGGGTAGAGGGCAAGGAATGTCACAATTTGCTTTCATGCTGAGTATCACTGGGGGTTGGCCTACCTTGACTAAAATACTTAGCTTTTCTGGATCTTTATATTCTCATCTGAAACATAACAGAAATATTACCTACGTCCTAGAATTGTCCTAAGAATGAAGATAGAGTGCATAATAAATGCTCTATGAATGTTAGCTAATATTGGTTAAGTGCACAGTGAAATAATTTACAATGGATAGATCCCAGTCTTACATTTCCTACATCCTATTCAAAAAGTAATTTGCACCAATACCAGGAACCTTAAGAAAATTCATTATAGCACTGATTTTCTGAACACTGCTAAGCAATTGGAGGAAATGATCCTGCTCTTGTAAACCAGGATGATGAAGATTGGTTGTACTTTATCACCTCTGCTCTACAAAACATTTTTTGATATTAAAATGATAGTCTGCATGAAAGGCCCAGGTATTAATTATTCCCTCATCCAGTCAAGATATTCCAGTCACCTACATGCCACAAAAATCTAACTGCCACTAGTCCCCGAAGCTATCAGTATTAACTCTATACCAGTTTTTTTTTTCTTTAGATTTGGAAAGGAAGCCCAGGAGAACACTATTCTCTTAGCAAGATGAAAATGAATATAAAACTGCAATGTATAATACATTGGGAGGCATACAACACCCATTAAGCATGGAGCTTCTATGTAATAGCACTATAGACTTATAGCATGAGTATTAAACCTAGTATATTCATTTGCTCAAAACCTTGTGCCAAAACAAAAATCTCAAATCTGCAAACTGCTGACAATTCAAGGAACAAATGCTTGTCTCCTTTACCTTGTTTCAAAATCAAGTGATAGCCTTTGCAGAATTACATAGCACTTCTTCAGATCGTTTTGTCTTTAAAACTTGTATTTTAATGCCTATATGTTTATTTTGATATGATTTGAAATGTAGCTAAGAGCTACATCATCTTATTGCTTTGTTTGGCCTGTCACAGTATACCTGTGGCCCAAAATGCAGCATATCAATGACCACAGACACCAAAAGCTTTTCGGATTATAAACCAGATTACTGAACCCCAAATTTTTGGGGGGAGGGGAAGGAAGGTGATATGGAATCGGCATTTTAAACAAGCATTTCAAGTAAATTTTTGCATCCATAAGTCTGTAAACTACTACTGTGATGACAGGTATGTGTATTCTGGCTTAGATACATAAACACATAAAAAATTTGGATTCATACACTGCATTTGTATGAGAAAAATAAATGAAAATTTAGGCCAAGGGAATTGAAACTTTATTTTTATTCTCAAAGAGATTTTATCAATTACTAAACATCTCCTATTCTTCTGGAGAACAGGAAAGGAAAACATGGCGTCGACAGATGGGGTATCAATTGGTGAGGGATGAGACCAGCTGTCACTCAAAAATACATTTTCTTCTTGGTTATAAATTCTGCAGTGCGTGACTAGGCAGAGACATGAGCTGCCTCCTAATTCTTAGTAGAGCCAAATGACTTTCTCTAAAATATGAAATGAGGACAAGAGGCTATGTGAGTTCCACCACCTGTCCCCACTACATCCCCTTTTCAGAGGCCAAGAGCTTGGCAACATGAAATTATAACTGCAGCTCTCTGCACCTCACTAACCCATCTCTACTGGCCATCAGCATGTGGAGCTATTAGGACTTTGAAACCTGCCACCTGTAACCCCAGAGTGTTGACCCCTCTGCTCTCCAACCTAAATGTCACTGTTCTGATTATACAGAGGCTACCTGAGAATCTTTTTCAGATAGTCCAACAGGTGACAAGGTGACTTTTAAGAATCTAAGAACATGGAGTGAATGTTTCTCCTTTGTTCACTCATTCTCACACATTCTTTCAAATACGTACGTAACTAGAGGCCTAGTGCATGGAATTAGAAACGGCTGCCTGACAAGGCCTGGGGGAGGGGCTGAGGGTGGTTGCTAGTCAGCCCTGCCCCCTGGTCAAACTCCTGGTAGAGGGGACAATTTGCATATTAGGCTTTTATTATATAGGATTCTTAGTAAGTGATAATTACTCTTGCAAATGCCTCTGGCAAGACAATGATCATGCTAATTAACTCTACAAAATCAATCTGTAAATGGTTAAGAAAAACATCCAGTCTACTCATTTATTCAGCCAAGGATGCCAACTTGGAGACTGACACAGAGCCTTGAGCTTTCCCTGGAATTCTTGAATTCATAATCATACTGCAGGTATCAAGCTATATTTATCTCCAGGTCTGCCAAAGACGAATGAAGTAGATGGGTGGGAAAGGTGAGATTTAAGGTCACTGGATTCTCTAGTAAGGAATAGGTGCGTAAAAATAATCTTTGGGCTCTTCTTCCATCTTGGGTGAAAAGAGTTTGGCAGGCTTTTTAAAACTTAATGCCACAACCTAAAAATGATCCATTCTGTAAGGCATAAAATAATACTCACTTTATAAAAATATCACAATTTTTTTAAAAATGCACTCTACCAAAGGAACCATGTTCCAACATTGCTAAAAAAGGTATTCCACTTAAAGCAGAACAAGATACCTCACCCCATCCATGCCTTCCTTCCCTGTTCCCCTCCCAACCAGTCATGTCACCCCCGGGACACTGTTCCGGGTGATAGGAATGCTTGGGCCACCCAACGCCAGAAGACTTGGAGGGCCTTCCATAGTTAAGCATAGCAGGACAGAAAGCAAAGGGTCAGCTGTCTTCATCTAGGATCTCTGAGTGTTCCTTCCAGAAAGCATCCCCGATGATATCACAGTGCAAGGGCACGGGCTTAGTCCTGGTTCGGGTCACTGCCATCTTTTTCCCTTCCATTTCTGCTGGCAGTTTAACTTCTTTTGTCGTGACTTCATCCACCTACAGGTTAAGTTAAAATATTGACATTGGTAACTTGAGAGTGGATTTGGGAGAGAAGAGGGAGATGTAAGGGAGATTTATTTTTTTACTTTATATAGTAAAAAATATGAGACATTTATCAGACCATACACACATATCTTTACATGAATTTCTTTACAATTAAAAATACTTTTAGCCAAAACCGGTTTGGCTCAGTGGATAGAGCATCAGCCTGAGGACTGAAGGGTCCCAGGTTCGATTCCGGTGTAGGGCATGTACCTTGGTTGTGGGCACATCCCCAGTGTGCAGGAGGCAGCTGATTGATGTTTCTAGCTCTCTAATTCTCTCCCTTCCTCTCGAAAAAAATCAATAAAATATATATTTTAAAAAATACTTTTAAAATCAATTTGCTATGTTCTATAAAAATATCTTAGGAATAAAGGAGATTTCTTGTTCCTTGTTAGCAAAAACTATAGAATTAGTGGTATTTTTGCTCTCCCACCTGCAATAGAAAATATCTAAGTCTGTGCCAAAGATTAAATGTACTTTAAAAATACTAATAAAAGAGCTGAAGTTGCTAATGGAATGACTAGCTTTCAAGGTTCCCCTTAATACATAAAAGCATTTCAGAAAAACTACTTTGGATGGTAGGAAATAAACTTAGAGAAGTCATTATGCCCAAGAGCTGGTATGAGAGAAAATATTGGTATAATTAAGGATTTAGGTAAGTGTACACTCATTACAGAATATGAAGGTGTATGAATGCCTGAGGAATCTCATGAATATTCTCCAAGTGTCAGAATCCTAATATCAACATCTCTTAGGGCCTCACATTGCAGTTGTCACAGGATGGATGAATCATTTAATGGTCTTATCCAGTGTGGGAGAACGTACTCTTTTAAATGTTGTATGAATGCAAAAATCCTCATATCTATACTATAACACTTTAACAGGGTTTTACTTTATACGAGGAGAGCTTATGACACATAAAAATAAGTGTAACATTTCTAAAATTCTGTGTTTCTACTTATAGGAGAGATTCAAAATCACTGACAAACTGATACAGGAGCATGGACTGACAACAACAACAAGAAGCATTGAAATAGGAACCTCTAGCATCTCGTTTTGGAAAGGATCTAATTCTTGTTAGCAACTGCAGTCACACCAGCACACTGGTAGCAGGCAAGATACACTTGGGATGGGCACAGACTCTCTTTTTTCCTGCCCTCCATTTTTTCTCGGGAAATAACAGCATTACCTTTTGCCATATCAACACGGTCCCTTTCCTGTACATCAGCGGCTCACTATTGTAGTTGATGTTGAATTCAGAAAACAAAATCTCATTCTTGTCTGCTGCAAGAGTCCCCTGAGAAAATAAAAACAAAATATACAAAGCTTTGAATGTCTTATCTCTCCCCTAACCTTACCAGTCCACCCTCTATCTAAACCTCCACAAACAAATCAAGTGGAAGTGTTTTAGCAAACATACTTTGATACTAAAAATTTTGCATAATTTCAAGTCTTCAGGCATGTAAATTCATAAATTTCTCTTCTGCTAACCACTACGCTATCTCCCTAAAATTAATCCCAAATAATATTGAATGTAAGAACAAATTCTCTTCCGTAGCAAACAATGGCTTCACAAGTCATGAATGTGATGGGGGTGACAGAAATTGATAGTGAGACCACCTATTCTGTACTAGATACTTAACTAGTATATATACGTTCTTATTTGACCCGAAAACATCTCCATTTTAGAGATGAGAACTCTGAAGCTTAGAAAGCTTATATAAATTGCCCAAGACTATAGTTTGCTCTTATCCATCTAGAACCAAAACCTTACGTTGGCTCTTCCAAAGTAGATAGACTTTTCATATTCCTTACTGCTATATGTAAATCTCCATCATCGTAATAACAACCATTTACTGAATAATTATGAAGTACTAGGCATTGTATTGAGTTGTTATAACACATCATCTCATTTCAGTGTTAATCATCCTACAAGCAGCACTGTCATCTAATAATAAAAGCTAGTGTTTATTAAGTACTTACAGTGTGCTTTGTGTTATCCTATGTTTTACATGCGTCATGCCACTTAATTCTCAACGTAAACCTATGAGGTAGGAACTATCACTTTGCCTATTTTACCTATAAAAAACTAGGCAGAGAGGATAAACTTAAACAAAAGACTGATCTAAGAGTGATTATTTGACTCCTGAAGCCTAGTTTCTCTTTACCTGAGAAACTACAGATGCCCAGCAGGGAACGGCTAATATGCAACAGGCCAGATGGGACTGACAGAAAGAGCACATGCCCTGTCGAGACAGGGCAGCCAATACTCAGCTCCAGCCAAGCACTGCCATGTGGGAATGCAGACACAATGTCACTGATCCCATTTTCCAGCTGAGGACACTGAGGCTCAGGGAGAAGTAGTCAGCATCACAGACCCAGCCAGCAAACAACAGACTTGCTACTAATGTGATTTTTTATATGCTCTCAAAACAAAGCTGTAGAGAGCTGGAAAAGAATGCAAAATATCATGGGAGAGCCCACAGAAAACTGTCCCATTAAGCATTAATTCAGTAAGATCTATATACCTGTAATCTCTCTTGAGCTTGTGCTGGTGTTAGTCCAGACTGCTGTACAAGTGCCCAGAAAACTGTGTTATAAAGATTATTGATATGACCTGTGAGGAGAACAAAGTAGCACTGTTTATACATATATAATCTTTATTCAGCTTTAAATAGAGAAGGGGACTCTCTCCTCTTTAAAGTAAAGGGGACTCTCTCAGGGGACTCTCTCCTCTTTAAAGTAAAGAAATCTCAGAGATATTTAGTGACCTGCCCAAAATCATACACAGGAAACATGGGGGGAAGAAGGCAACCAGAAACAGACTTATTTCCCAACAGTTTTTTATTCTGTCATTTCAGTTATGCTTTATACACATCTGTTAACTTGTGCGCCAAGCTTAGGAATACTCTCAGTTAAGTGATTCACATTATTCCTACCTCTTTTCCAGTTCTGACAAAATCAAGATACACAAAATGAAAAAAAGTCTCACAAACATTTCATCATAGTCATGCAAGGCAGGAGTCACAACTCAAACCCCCTGAGTAGGTCATCCCTTCCCTACCCTGGGGAACAGGGAATGGTAAACTATGACACGCTGGCGCGTGCACGCACACGCGTGTGTGTGTGTGCGCATGTGTGTGTAAAGGGAGCATCGCACAGGTTCTGTTCGCTACTATGTAGGAATACAGACTTAGTAATGACAGATCTTTTGGTTTAAAAAAAGCAAAAAAGCTGGAAATTGGGGGTATTGACAAGTAATCTCTCAATTTTTCAATTACTTTCAACTAATTTAAAATTTTTTGAGTCCTGGCTGGTGTGGCTCAGTTGACTGAGCAAATGGTGGTCCTGTCCACCATTTGGTCACCAGTTCGATTCCCTGTCAGAGCACATGCTCAGGTTGTGGGTTCAGCCCCTGGTCCCACATGCATATGGGAAGCAACCGATTGATGTTTCTCTTCTTCTCCCTCTCATTCTCTGGACCTTCCTCTCTCTCTAAAAAGTCAATTAAAAACATGCTAAAAAAATGTTTTTTGAAATATTTCATTCCAAACAAAATGCATGTGGGCCAAACCTATACCAGATCACCCATCACCTCCAAAGTATGGAGTTGGTGGTTTAATTATATCTGCTTAATTCTTTTCACTTACAATCTGCTTGCCGCCAACTGAGGTAGTCCTTTAAGGTCTGGTTGTTAGGATACACCACAACTCTTCCATCAAAGCCTGGGGGATACAGAAGGGGCTGATCTTCAAAGTAATCCCGCCAATAAAACACGTAGCTGGAGGCGAACTGGGAGGCCACATGAGTCATGAACTTACTTGCAAGTATAAGGCACAGTGGGTGGAGCAAGAAAAGAGAAAATACATGACGTTAACTCAACACTGTGATAGGGCCTGTGGGTGTAATAGAGAGATTACACAAATTGGCCAGCAAACGTAGAGATAAAATATGTTGGAACAAGAAAAACTACTTTAATATTTCAGTTACCTATATGAAATGTAGCCTGCCTCTCCTTCTAGTTCTTTAAGTAATTAATAATTTTTTTTTTTCCCTGTAGGATGTAATGTGAATTTGTGGTTCAAGAGATATTTTTTTAAATCTTGAAAGGAGTGGAACCATTGTTTTAAAAACATACCAATTTATTATATGATTTGTTTCCTTTAAGAGTATCAAAATACTCAAATATGAGGTTTGTCTATTTTGTACTGACATTCTCCTTCATTTAAGTTTTAAGCAATACTGCAATGCCTGTATAAGTGTCTATTACTGACTAAAGCCAACCTATAAATCACTAATATTAATTCCATGGTCTATTTTTCTAGTCTTAAATGTCTAATGCCAAATCAGCCTAGAAGATAAAATGATGGGGAATAAGAGTGGAAAGAATCAGATGAAGAGGGATATGGAATGCTCAGATATCAGATGGAAGTACAACAGTCCACACAGAAATATACAAACATTTTGCAATTGCAAATACTGCGGACATATTGTGGTCTGTGAGTCTTTGTTTAAGAAAAGCAGAAACCAGATGCTGATAAGAAATATTCTAATGAAATTGGGCTATGTATTTACCTGGCTCTTCTCTTAAACCAATTGCTTTTACGCTTGAACACAAAGCTGTATTCATCACTCTGTCCATATGCAATCAAAATATCCTCCAGTTCTTCCATTACAGTCTGGGCACATTTGGTCATTAAGTGGAGAGCACGGATGTCATTAGGTTTTGCAAAGCTGTGCTTCTCAGAAAACCTTAATAAAAGAAAGAATAGAGGGGGGAGGGACATGAATGTAAGAGAGCTTGTCATTAACACTAAGGATCAAAGAAGCTGTTCAAAGAGGAAGGTACTGAAATAGTACTGTGAGTCCAAACACTCCAGTAGCCACAACCAAATCAATTCCCTTAAGGTTTCAGGTTTTTCTTGTCCTAACTAAAGGAGAAAAGTGGACATAACTGCTAAGCCTCAATTACCTCTTCTATAAAACTAGAGGCTCAGTGCACAAAATTCATGCATTGGTAGGATCCCTTGGCCTGGCTGGTGATTAGGGCCGATTTGTGGGGCAACTGGCAGGCTGGCACCCACCTTGCCTGCTCACTAGCCCCGCCCTCCCTGGCCACTGGTCTCCTCCCTCTGTGGGGCAACCAGGAAGGTAATTGGGGGTCCCCGCTGGCACTCCCGTTAGCTGGCTTGGCGCCTGCAGGCTGGGGGTAGCTCCTGTGTTGAGCATCTGCCCACAGGTGGTCAGTGCACATCATAGGAACTAGTCATTCCGCCAGTTATTCCACTTTTCAGTTCATTTGCATATTAGTATTTTATTATATAAGATGGGGACAGTCATTACTTTATAGAATTGTCCTGACGATTAAGAGAAGATAACAAATGTAATTATGCCTGGCTCCCTAGAAGTGTTCAATAAATGTTAGTTATAATAATCATTAAAATAGCACTTTAAAAATTGATTTGTTATATTTCTGCCTTTTTATGACTTTATTTCCTTCTGAGCCTAGACCATGTGGCCTGTTACTGACAGTGAATGAACACACTGTAAGAGTTGCCCACAGCGAGGCCTAAATGGGCCTCTGAACAGTCAGCACTCCTAACAAAATGGTTGGGCAATTGGCTGAAGAGCTAAAGTACTGTGCCCGGGAGTGACACTTTTCCCACAAGGTCCTTACGAACACGTCTATGCTCGCATACAACCCAGCCCAGCTACTACTAATCAGGGAACACCCAGTCCCTCTGAATTACCCAGACAGCTTACTTCCAAGCGCGCCTTAGCCAGCACATAGAATGATGCTCAATGCCGCGAGCTCATTGGCTGCCGCGTTACCTCGGCAACAGTGAGCCGGCGCCCGCGATGGCTGGTGTACAATTTACCCGGAAGCGCCCACGGGCCGCGCGGCCAAGCTGAGCTCACTCACCGATGGAAATTCCTGCCGTCCAGCCGCACTACCACCCAGCACTGGGGCAGGCAGGTGTCGTCAGCCTCGAAGTCCCGCACGTACTCGAACTTGCTCTTTGCCATGGTCGCCCCCAATTTCAGACACCGTTTCAGAATGACGGAAGTGGAAGCCAAGCAATCGCGAACCTTCACGTTACAGGTAGTCCACATTCCCGCCGCCACGCGGAGGGTAGGAAAACCAGAGAGCCCCGCCCCGGAAGTCCTGTCTTTTTTTTTTGTGGCCGCTCTAGCCCCAGTGGAGGTCGGCATCTTTCTCGCCTCTCCTTGTAGTTCTCAAACCACTTCCGGGCCTGGAAGGAGGGTTTCAGCCTTCCCTTTGCATCATGACCTAGCATTGCTGGCTTTTCTCCCATCCTACAGCAAATCACTCTGACGAAGTTTATAAAAATTTCCATCTAAGTTTAAAGTTGTGATTTCTTTCTAATTAGCATTTGTTGTAGAAAATGTGAAATATACAGCAAAATATAATTAGGAAAATTAATACTATCTTTCCTCTCCATGGCAAAGTGTGGAGCTTCCTTCCAGTCTCTTTTCTCTTGGTATGTTTACACAGGGAACACACAAAATTGTAATTAAAAATAGTGACAATTAAACCCTATTGTTTGTATTTTGTTTTATGATTTTTGAATTTGTTACTTACATTATTGTTTTTATCCTCAAGAAAATTATTCAGACAATATTGCTAATTCCTAACTCCCTACTTTTTAGGCAATTACTTTTACAATTACTTTTAGGCAATTAGTTTCTTGTATATCCATCCAGGGAAAGATATAGATAGATGATCTAGATGAGTACATATTACATATAAATAAAATCTATAATAAAAGCATAATATGCTAATTAAACCTAACAGCCAAACAAAGACTTCCAGACATCCTTCAGGATGACCTTCCAGCCGAAGCCAGGGCTTCCAGGGGCTGCAAGGACCAGCCGAGGCAGCCAGGGCTGTGAGGGCTGAGCCCCTCGCATGAATTTCATGCATTGGGCCTCTAGTGTGTGTATGTGTGTGTGTGTCTCAAAGCAACAAGATTACTTCCTTCCCTCCCCATATGTCTTCCACCACCTTCAGCACACACTCTGCCCCTAGGACAAGTAGTGACAGGTTGGGAAAGCCTCCAAGAGCAGGCAGGAAGGGAGGACTACTTCCTCACTTGCCAGTTGGGAAGCTGCCGAGTTTCCTGGTGCTGCCACTGTAGGAGGGAGAGAGAGTCACTGGAAGATCCTGATAGGCGTCATCTTCCTGTCTCCTTCAAGTTTGGGGTGTATGTGAATACAGAAACTACATCACAGTTGGAGGTTTCTGGAGCAGTCTAAGCCAGTAGATGAGAAGGAGAAGCAATGGGATGTGTGAGCAAAGGATAGATACCTCACTGCAGTTTTCCCCAGCCTTTGAGGCCTGGAAAAGATCATCACCATTAGTCCCATAAAAAGGAGCTCACAGGTTACAGGGGGAGGCAGAAGCCAGGAGCTGCCTATGAAGTCACCCCTCCTGAAGAGGGTTTTGAGACAGAGCTGGAAGAGCCAAAAGGAGCTACTCCTCTTCAAGGGATCCAAGAAGGATCAGCTCATGCTAAGAATGGCCTCAACACAACATGCACCATGCCAAAGCAGGAAGAGAATGTTGTTCCACCACGAGGTGGAAGGCCAATTACATAAGGAGGACTCTGCCTCCCTTACACTCCAGTCCACCCCTCAATGGAACAGGAATTAATCCCTGAAAAGAGGGGGATGACTTCAGAACCAGACAACGTCTGCCACCTCCATTCCAAGTTGTTGGAGTGTGGGCAGAGTAAAAGAGCACTCCAAGTCCCTTTAGCAATAAGCCTGGCCTGTGCTGGGGCCAACGAAGGAGTAACTTTGCTTGTCACAAGACGACAAATACTGTATGATTCTGGATACTCAATGAAGTACTTATAGTAGTCAAATTCACAAAGAAAGTAGAATGATGGTTGCTAGTGGGTAAAGGTAGTGAGGAAGCGTGAATTGTTGTTTAATGGGTGTAGAATTTCAATTTTGAAAAAGATGAAGAAGAGTTCTAGATATTGCTTGCACAACAATATGAATGTACTTTACTGTACAATTAAAATTGTTAAGATTGTAAACTGTATGTTATATAATTAAAAATAAAAAGATCCCATATACAACAGATATTTATGACCTACCTGGAAATTGGCCTCTATTTTTTTTTTTTAATTTCTATTACTTAGGAGATCACTTACCCACTGAGGCTGACAGAAAGAAAAGTAAGTATTTTTGGTATGGAAGTCATATTTCAATTTGCCCTTATGCTGACTCATTTCATTTGTACTAAGAGCTGCATTACGTAAATGAAATTAATGGTGCAAAGGATAAGAAGAGGGAATAATTTGACTCTAAAATCTCCCTCCCCACTCTAAATCACTTTAATCAAATTTCTGGCTGGAAGTAATGTACAGTATTGCTTCCAGGAATGGAGTGCCTAGTTCTGGCATGGTTTTGAAGTTGTAGTATTGCCTGCCCAGCATCCCTTTTCTGACTTCTGGCAATGGCACCCCAACTGTCCTTTCCCAACCCTCAGATCATTTGGTTTATGTGGGATAAACACTCTCACCTTTGCTCCAAGCACATGACCAAGACCACTGTGTGTCTCACTGTGAATCATAAAAAGGCCCCCCTCTCCCACACGCATAGTCATACACCAGCCAAAGAATTGGTTAGTATGCCCTGCACTGGATTTCAGTCCCTGCTCTATCATTTTTGCATTGAAACCTTGCACAAACAATGGTGGCCTCCCAATTAATGAGATCTAGCCAGTCCAGTTCAGAGACAGGCACCTGATCCAAGCCAGGTGAATGAACTATTCTGGCACTCTGCAAGACTGGGGAAAAGGCTCTTTTCTATTAGAATTACTACACCGGTGGCCACATTGCCTTCAAGAGGGAAGATTTGGGCTATGCAAGGAAAAAAATCTGAGAGATTCAGAAAAATATTTCTGATGACACTGAGCATTGTCCTGGAGCCAGCACTACTCTAGACTCCTACAAGTTCCAGGAGGGCAGGAACCTCACTTAATATTTTTCAAAGCTGTATCCCCTGTGCCTAGAACAGTGCCTAGCACATGGAGCAATCAAATAATATTACTTGAGAGATTTAACAATAAATTCCTTTTTTGTTTATGAAATTGGGTCTTTAGAAGTTTCAATTCATTGGGGTAAAAGTAAACTTCATTTTTCTCTGTAACTGCTCTCTCGTGTTCTCCTTTCTTTCTGGTTAGCAATTCTCATAAAGAATTTTGGCTAGCTCTAGCTGGTTTGACTCAATGGATAGAGCATCGGCCTGTGGACTGTAAGGTCCCAGGTTCAATTCCTGCCAAGGACATGTATTTGGTTGCAGGCTCCTCCCCAGCACAGGCCCTGGTCGGGGCTTGTGCAGGAGGCAACCAATTAATGTGTTTCTCTCACATTGATATTTCTCTGTCTTTCCCTCTCTCTGAAAATCAATGGGAAAAGATGGTCTCATGAGGATTAAAAAAGAAAAAAAGAAAAGAATCTTGGCCAGAACCCCTAACTTCCCAGTTAGCAAAATGTTAAGAACTGTGCTCCCCCAATGCAGGCAATTTTCTACAGCTCAGTCCTACTCCTGCCCAAATCAACTCGGAGTAGGAAGGTGATTTATTTTTTATTTTTTATTTTTTTAAAATATATTTTATTTTTTACAGAGAGGAAGGAAGAGGGATAGAGAGCTAGAAACATCGATGAGAGAGAATCATCGACCATCTGCCTCTTGTACACCCCCTACTGGGGATGTGCCCACAACCACGGTACATGCCCTTGACCAGAATCAAACCTGGGACCTTTCAGTCCGCAGGCCAACGCTCTATCCATTGAGTTAAACCGGTTTCAGCAGGAAGGTGATTTAGATAGCAAATCTGGTTCTGGTTTTTTAAACAAGTCTTTTAGGGGGCAGCTGACTCAAACTTGTAGGGTCTCTTTGAACTTAGAAGTGGGCTACTTCAGATCTTATGTTCTCAGTTTGGGGCGTTAGGTATAATTTCAAAACAGGAAAAATCCCACTCAACATCTTGTGCATCAGGTTTGAGTTGGATCAAAGAGCTATTCAGATAGATGAGATGAACTTGACATTTTGGATAAATTCAGGAATGTGAGTAATATATGCAAGGTTTATTGAGGGACATGTGAACACCCACTAAGAGATATAAAAGTAATCTGGCTATAGTGTGAAGGGTAACTGAAAGTGAAGAAAACCTGGAGGCAGCTAGACAACTGAGAATCTACTTCAATATTTCAGATATGCAGTGCTGATTAAAAGGAAGAGATAGATGAAGAAAAAGGAAAAACAAAGAATTTGGTAGCCATAAAATGTTTTCAGGTCCTAAATCACAAAAAGCTTTAATCATTTTTTTTAAAAGGCAAGGAAGGTATTAAGAGGTTTTGAAAAAAATGTAGATATTAGTATTGATACAGAGACAGAGTCACATTCACCACAACTAACTAGGAGTTATTTATAGGGCTACACATTGAGCACCTCATAATAATTTGGCCCTGATGGGCCATAAGTTGGTAGCAAAATTAAACAGATATATTTCCTTTTTTTCCATCAGTGGCTGAACTGGTTTATTAAAGAAGAAATTTTAAAATATTTTTCCCCTCTTCGTGTCCATATAAAAGTGAAATCTGGCATGCGAACTGATTTTCTATATAATTTATATTGTTACTCATTTCTAAGCAATAGAAATCAAAGGTAAAGGAAAATCTAGTAATTTCTGAGTAAAAATTTGCTTGGGAAAAATTATTTCCTAATTGAAGTTCAAAAACCATAGCAGAAGTCAATTTTTAAAAACCAGCAAAACAATTAAGAAAATCAGGGAAACTGATAGTTTGTTTTTTGAAAAGATTTATACAGTTGATGAAATTTTAGTAAAATGACAAAAAAGAGAGAAATGATACAAATTGCCAAAATTAGGAATGAAAGAGGAAACATTTGAAGCCTACTGAAATTAAAAGGAATATAAAAAAATATTATGAACAACCTCATGCCAACAATTTGACAACTTCATTGAAATAGGAAAATTCAGACATAAATAAAACTGGCTGAAAGAGAAATATAAAATCTGAATAGACCTTTATCAAATAAAGACATTAAATTAGTTAATTTAGATATTAAAAATTTTTCTAGTCTGGCCAGCATGGCTCAATGGTTGAGCATTGACCTATGAACCAGGAGGTCATGGCTTGGTTCCAGTCAGGAGCACATGCCCGGGTTGTGGGCGCCATCCCCAGTAGGGGGCATGCAGGAGGCAGTCAATTGGTGATTCCCTTTCATCATTGATGCTTCTATCTCTCTTTTCCTCTCCCTTCCTCTCTGAAATCAATGAAAAAAATTTTTTAAAAATATTTCTACAAAGGAAAGCCCATGCCCAAATGACTTTCTTTAATGGTGAATTATATCAACATTTAAGGTATTAGTAATACTAATCAAACATAATCCTTTCAAAAATAGAAAAGAACATTTTCAAGCTCATTTTACCCTGATACCAAAGATGTAGACAAAGATAGCACAAGAAACTATAGACCAATATCCTTCATCACTATAAATGCTAAAATTCTTAAGGGATAGCAATTGGATACAGTAATGTATAGAAAGGATTATACATCATGACTAAGTGGAGTTTGTCCAGGAATTCAGGTTAGCTAACATGTGAATATAAATTAATGTAATAAACATATTAGTAGACAAAGCAGGAGTCAGCAAACTACAGTCCATAGGCCAAATATGACATGCATTTTGTTTTTGTAAGTTTTATTGAAGCATAATCATGTCCCAGATTGTTTATATTGTTTTCATTCTACAATAGAGTTGACTGATTGCAAGAGAGGTCATATAACTCACAAAACCAAAAAATATTTATTATATCGCCCTTTCTAGAAAATGTTGCTGACCCCTGGAATAAAGTAGAAAGCTATATGATTATCTCAATAGATGTAGAAAAAGCATTTGATGAAATACAAAAAACTTATATCATCAAGCTCTCCACAAACTAGGAATAGAAGGAAACTTCTACATAAAACCTACAACTATCATCAAACTTAAAGACCTAAGACAATACTTTCCCCCTAACACTGAGTATAAAACAAGGATGTCCACTCTCACCACTTCTATTCAACACTGAACTGGAGCTTCTGTCCAGTGCAATAAGGCACAAAACTATGAATATAAAATCAATATACAACCAACTAGAGATGAAGAAAACAATTACATTCACAACAGCATAAAAAATATTCAGTAATACATTTAACAAAAGAAGTGTAGAGCTGTTCACTGGGAAATACAAAACATTGTAAAGAAAAAGACAATGTTCTAGAACTGGGTTAACAGTGATGGTTACACAACTTTATAAACTTATTAAAAGGCACGGAATTTTACATTTAACTGAATACTTATGACATATAAATCAAATTTCAATAAACCTTTTTAAAATTTTTATGAAAAAGATTGCTTTCTGCTCAAAGCACACTTTCTATATACTGTCTGCATTTCTGTCACAGACAACTGTCATATCACTTTCTTTGAATTTCTAATTCAGATTGGATTAACTGGTCTTGCATGAAATCTACACTAACTTGATTTATTTCTCTGCCTCTTTTTATCAGCCTTCGTTTATGCCCATACTTAGCTTTACCAGTTAGACTCTTCTCAAAGTGTGGTTCAGGGACTAAATTAGAGAATCTGCTAAAATAGTACTTTTCATAGTTCTAAGACAATATTTGCCTTTTTACTATAATCTCTCATAGATATACAATGAAGCTTTCTAGAACCTTTATGACTTGCGCATCACAATAGGTTGGAAGCAGAAACAACTGTGTTTTGTTTGCTTGTTTTTTAATTAGGACAGACATTAAATTCACAATGATACTTTAGGGGAAATATAGTTTTACTATGAAAATATGTTATGTGAATATGTAATGGGTTTATATTGATATCTTAAACTACTTGACAACTAAATATTTTTTAAAGTCCTCAGTACTTACTTATATGGCAAATAAATATAAAGCCACATAAATACAAGCTCTTTGTACTCTTCATTTTTTGGGTATAAAGTTTCTTGAGATAGAAAAGTTTGAAACCACTGCCTTTGTGTACCTGCTAGATGTGAGAACTCCTGTTTGCCACATTTAACAAGATTTAGAAATAGAATTGGGACAGGTCTTCTTTCAGAGATAACTTGTCTTGGTTAAAAATATAATCTGCTTCAAGATAAATGTATAGCTTTTAGTTAGGACATCATTTAGAAATGTAGCAAATGTTAGTACAATATTCCCCCCCTCCCCTTTTTACTTGTGATTTTTGGTAAGAGTTTTAAAAGAGGTGATAAAGGTATGACTACATAAAGGGATATTTGACCTGATTTTCAGAGACAAGAGAAAACTTCTCTGAGAATGTGTCAGTTGAGCTCAAAACGAAAGATGAGCTGAAGGAGAACTAGTCTTGGGGGCATATCCGAAGGCCTTCGAGGTAGGAGAGAGAATGACGAGAAGCCCAAAGGGTCAGAGCTACAACGGTGACTAGTAGTAGCACTATACTCCACACTATTGGGGGCTTAATAGGCTTTGCCAAATACATTAAACCTTTACCAGGTGGCCAATGGGGAGCCATGGAAAATTTTAGGGGAGGAGGTTATGACAAAGCTAGATTTGTCTTTTTGTAAGATCCCTGGGAGCTGGAGTAGAGGAGATAAGAGTGAAAAACATGGAGACTGTTTACAGTGCTACGCATTATCCAGGTGAGAGAGCGCACCTGGGAACGCAGCAAAGGCAAGGAACCCGAAAGAAGTGGTGAAGTTGAGATGTAATTCAGGGAAACTAATGTTGTTTTTTTAAAAGATCTATACAGTGGATGAAATTTTGGTAAAATGACCAAGAAAAAAAGAGAAAAGATACAAATCGCCAAAACTAGGAATGAAAGAGGAAAACATTTGAAGCCCACTAAAATTCAAAGGAATATAAAGAAATATGATGAACAACCTCATGCCAACAATTTGACAACGTTGTTGAAATGGGAAAATTTATAGACATAAATGATAAAACTGGCTCGAAGAGAAATATAAAATCTAAATAGACCTTTATCGAATAAAGACATTAAATTAGTTCACTTAGATAGGAAATCAAAGGTTAGCTAACCTTTGAATATTAGCAGGTCGGGCCTACAGGACTGGTGATTCAAGTCAAGTGTATCTCGCACAATCGCACCAAGCTGAACACTCTTCCCAGCAAGGAAATCAACCAATGGGGTTCATTGTGAAGTTGCAAACTCGAGGCCTTCCCTCTGATCCCCCCACTTTTCTCTTTGGCAGAGAATCAAAGGCCCCCGTGATCCTGAGCATCAATGGTATGTCCTGGCCACACAAACCAACCGCGCGCGCGCAGGGCTGGGTTCTCCAGGCCCCTGTAAGGGACTCACGTGGTTTCATCCCCGGGGCGGGTCCGTGGCACAGAACCCCCAGTCTCCTGGGCAACACCATTGTCCGCGCTCTGGGCGGGGGAGGGGTAACTAAGAACAACAACGGCCATCAGAGAACTCGAGAGTCCGAGGAAACAGGGGAAAATGGGCAGCACGTGCGGCCGTGCCCGCCGGCGCCGGTGATTCGAGGACTCGGCACAAGGCGAGAGTGGAGGGCGGGAGGAGCCCAGAAAGCGCGCCTCTGATTGGCGGCCCTGGGCGCCGGGACGCCTGTGATTGGGCGAGGCCACGCACAGAGGCCTGCTTTTTTTTTTTTTTTTTTTTTTTTTTGAACCGCGTAGGGTTCTGGGTAGCAAAGGCTTTGGAAGGGTCTTAACCGAAAGAGGGAGGGGAGCGCGGGGGCCCCCAAGGGGCAGAGTCGCCAACAAACGGCTGAGATCACAATCCGTCTGGGACCAGGCCGGGGCGTTCCCCTACGTCCATGGAGAGAGCCAGGCCCGAGCCGTCGCCTCAGCCACGCCAACTGCCGCGGGCGACCCCGCCGCGTCCACTGCGCCCCGCTCCGCCCCAGCTGCCAGTTGAGGGCGCCCCCTTTCGCCCTCAGTCGCCCCCAGCCCCGTGCGCGGCCGCCATCGCGACCGTGGCCTCGCAGTGCGGGGAAGGACCGGCGGCGTCGGGCGTCCAGCCGTCCGTGCGGCGGCTGCTGCAGGTGAAGCCGGAGCAGGTGCTGCTGCTGCCGCCGCCGCCAGGGCCGCCGCGGTCCCCGGCCAGGGACGAAGACGCCGCCGCCGCCGCTGCCTCGCCCGCGCAGGCGCGGCTGCTGCAGTTGAGGCCGGAGGTGGTGCCGCCGCTGCCCCCGCAGTCGCCGCCGCCGCCCACCTCCGAGGGCGCGCCCTGCAAGCCCGACTTGCACACGGTGCCGCCCCGGGTGCTGCAGGTCAAGGCGGAGAAGCAGGAGCTGGGGCCCGGCTTGGATCCCTCCGTGGGGCCTCGGAGAGCCGTCGAGGCGAGCCCGAGGGCCTCCAGGACGGCCAAGGCTGCGGAAGGCCCCGGGTCGGCCCTGGACAATCGCCGAGGGGACCCAAAGAAGAGCAAGTTGGAGGCCGAGGAGGACATGAGGGCTGCGGAGAAAGGCGGGGAAGGCAAAAGCCCGATGACGGCCATCCGAGAGAAAATCATCAAAACGGAGGAGCCCGAGAGACTCCACGAGGACTGCAGGCTCGACCGGGAGCCCGCGTCCAATGGGCTGGTCCATGGCAGCAAGGAGGTCGTCCTGGCGCAGCCGTCCAGCGCCTTCGGGCCGCACCAGCAGGACCTCAGGATCCCTCTGACTCTCCACACGGTCTCCCCCGGGGCCCAGATCCAGTTTCAGGGGCCTCCACCTTCAGAGCTGATACGCTTGACCAAGGTGCCCTTGACACCGGTGCCTATTAAAATGCAATCCTTGCTGGAGCCTTCTGTAAAAATTGAAACCAAAGATGTCCCGCTCACCGTGCTTCCCTCAGACGCAGGTATTAGACGGCAGGGGAATCTGGCTTTCAGATTTCGTCTATGTTGCCCCATTAGCTGACATGTCAAGCAGTTCAGAAGCCTAAACTAGAAACATAAAATCATGGAACTGATTCTGTTCAGGGCAAAGTCTGCACAGGTATCACTTCTGATTGACTTGTGCATATACCAGTGAAATACACGAACAAGTTCAAGATTACCAAACCTTTTAAAAAAAAAAAAATCTAAGGCCCAACAAAGTTGAGATTTAGATGTGACTACACAAAAATAGAAATATTTTTGCTAGATAATACAAAACCCTCGGTTTATATGTTACAGATAATATTTTAAAATATTATAATAGATCAATATTTTACATGTATCAAGAAGCCAAAGGAAAAAATGTGTTTAATGAAAAAATGGTTATTATTAAAATAAAATAATTTAGAGGTGATTTTTCTTCTTTAAAAAGGAACAGTTGACATTGTTCTGGAGGAAAACAGTACATGATTAAATGTAGCATTTTAAAATTATGAAAGCTCTAAGGATTTAGAGAAATTTGGAAAATGAAAATACTGTAGAATAAGCTAAAAAAATGTTTTCAAAGAAATGACATACTTACAGTGGTAACAACTACAAGTAGATATTTTATTCTATCCATTATTTCCAAATATATAGTTAGAATATTTCTTATTTTAAGGTTTCAGACAAAACACTATGTCAATGAATGTCATAAGTTATATTAATCTTCATGTTTTCATTAACTTTCATGTTTATTGTTTTTGTTACTTTACTGATCCTTTCTCTTCACTCAACCCTCTAATTTTTAACTTGAGTAGTTTTTAAATATTTTTGTTTTTTAAAGGAAAGGGAAAGCTTTCTTTGTTATACTTATTTCACCCTTTGTGCATTAAAAAATTGTTCATATATCAAGTAACCCTAAAGAGAAACAATATAAGAAATTTATAGACAGTTGTTTTTGATTAATTATGTAAGAGATATGAATTTAGTCAACTTATTTTATTGTAATATTAACTGGATCTGTGATTCTTAAAAAGTCACTTTTCTTATTTTCCTCCCAGGACATGGGACTAGTGTTGTTGACACATATTGATAGGAGTTTCACTTTCATAATGAAATATAACTAATATAATATTATAATATTATAAATATTTTGCTTAAATGGGCACTACAACGGCATGTAAATGAGTTCCTTGAAACATTTTGGGAACACTTACCTAGTGCTAGGATTATAGTCATTAAGTCATAGTTCGTGTTCCCCATTATTAGAATAGTTTTTAATGGGAAGTAAATGGTAATAATTGTTAGAGGTATTGATAAAGCTCAAAGAAGTAATAATCCAGCAATCTATTGTCTTCAACATTATTCCACAATATCTTATTATTATTTTGAGAAAAAGAGTCATTCTAAACTACAGTTTAGAATGCTGAGTTCATGGGTAATGAGGAGTTCTGGAACCCAGGCAGTTCTTTGTGTATATATTCACAAATATTCAAGTGTATATTTAGATAGTTAAAAAATAAAAATGGAGGTGCATTCCACTTTAAAATTGTGTGTGTGTGTGTGTGTGTGTGTGTGTGTGAGAAACACATTAATTTAGTCTCTTAATTTTTGTCATGTAGGAATACCAGATACTCCCTTCAGTAAGGACAGAAATGGCCATGTGAAGCGACCCATGAATGCATTTATGGTTTGGGCAAGGATCCACCGGCCAGCACTAGCCAAAGCTAACCCAGCAGCTAACAATGCAGAAATCAGTGTCCAGCTTGGGTTAGAGTGGAACAAACTTAGTGAAGAACAAAAGAAACCTTATTATGATGAAGCACAAAAGATTAAAGAAAAGCACAGAGAGGAATTTCCTGGTAATTAAATGAATAAAGCTTCTAATTTCTTTTAAATCAATTTATTTAGGTAAAGATTTGTCTAGGTCGAGATTAAAAGACAAAATGTGCAATCATTTGTCTAATCTGATAAGTACAATAACGAACAATGGCTAATATTATACTAATGATTGAATTGATACTGGGCATAAGTTTCTTTAAACAGAACTAATTAGAGGGCTATCTAGTCTTATTTATTAACGAATGCAAACCAGGGACATACAGTTTTATTGTGTTTTTTATTAAACTTATAAAGATAAAAGCTCCAGGATTCTAGGCTATAGTTTTGTAAACATACTATAAAACAAAGTTTTAAAATTATAGCAATAGAAAAAAAAAAAAGCATGCACACTTAAAGGCAATGAGAATGCTGGGATTTGCACCATGCTGTATTTTAATATTATATGATTATCAAGACATAATTCTGCCTTTTGATTGATAGGTTTATCCTCATCGTGATTTAATTTGAAATGAATTTTGATTTCTTCCCAGCAGTGGGGACATTAATATTAAGCTTGGGCCCTCCCAGCATGGCTCAGCGGTTGAATATTGACGTATGAACCAGGAAGGTCTTAGTTCAATTCCTAGTCGGGGTACATGCCTGGGTTGTGGGCTCAGTCCTCAGTGTGGGGCATGCAGGAGACAGCCAGTCAATGATTGTCAACATTGATGTTTCTCTCTCTCCCTCTCCCTTCCTCTCTGAAATCAATTAAAAAAAAATTTTTTTAATAGATTAAGCTTGGGATAGCAGCCAGTGTAACTGCGCATGGTAGAAAAAGAATGATTTTTTTCTAAAGTATGAGCAAAGAGGTTCTGGGGGTGGGAAGTCAGAGGCAGCAATTATAGGGAACGAGCAATTCTCCTGGTTATACTGTAGCTATAACTGCCATAATGCCACTCTTCTGACTTTGGGAGGAAATTTAGTTATTTGTGGACTTGGAAACTGCCAAGTCTAGGTAAGTGAATCTTCCTAAATTAGGCATAAAAATAGTGATTGCTCATTATGACCATTTCAGTGTAAGATATGGGCAGTTGTATCTTAGAGACAGATATTGTCTTGCTGGGGTATTATTTTATAGGTAGCAGAAAAGCTTTGGGTTTCAGACTTAATGCTTTTAATTACTAAGATTCCATGTGTTTGGATGTAAGACATTTGACTTTAATTTCTTTGAATTATCACAATGTTGTCCACTACTTAGAAGCTATATGGATATATATGCTAAAATGCAAAAAATAGTGTTATAGAGCTGGAAATGATACTTTAGGCAATAATTTATTTTTTAAAAACTTAGCTAACAATGCAGAAATCAGTGTCCAGGTTTTCAGTTGTTAGTATGGAAAATAACACAATAATTAATAAATACTAATACAAGAATAAACTTTTGCATACTTACAACCGTAGACCTACTTTTGCTCCAGCCTATGTGTAAAGAACTATTTAAAGGCTACATAGGGTCCATGTGTTCAAATTAAAAATAGTTCCTTTCTTCTATAGGTTGGGTTTATCAGCCTCGGCCAGGGAAGCGAAAACGCTTCCCTCTAAGTGTTTCCAATGTATTTTCTGGTACCACACAGAATATCACCTCTCCAAATCCTACAACAATTTATCCTTACCGCTCCCCTACCTACTCTGTGGTAATTCCCAGCCTACAAAACACCATCATTCATCCAGTTGGTGAGTTGGTTTTATTGTAGATTATGAATCTTTAAATAGCTGTGTGAAAATTTTACCTCAAGTTGAAATTTTGCTTCGGTTAGCTTAAGAATTTAGAAAAACAATATTGGGAGGGGGGATGGAGAAAGTGAAAGCATTAAATAAGAGGAGGAAAATTTTCCAAAGTGGCAAAGATACCAAGCGTAAAGATTCAAACCTTTCAAGCAAATCAGGATGAGCCCATAGAATAGGCAGGGAACGCAGGAAATGTCTGAGGTCACTCAGTAGGAAATAGGAGTGGCTTTTTACTATCAGCATGAAAGAATGCCTTACTAATGGGGTATGAGGCACCCTGTCCTGGAATTTAGTAATGATGACTGATCATTAAGACTGTTCTCTTGCTGCCCTAGAAAAGCAATGGAAGTAATCTATTTTCTACCAAATATTTGGCTCGTTATATTGTCTTTCCCTATATTTCTCCTCTTTTATGAGTTCTTTTTGTCTGTTGCACTTAAGAACCACAAATTAATTAGAGCTGTCCATCATTGGTTTGTTCTTCCAGAATATATTTTAACCACATATTAGGCAGAGCTTTATACATCCTCTATCTAAAGCTACCTGCTCAGATCCTCTGGTAAAATAAAGCCACCTCTATGTGCTGAGTGATTTAGGTATCTTGAAATTTGACTTATTAGAATTTTATGCATTTTCACCTTTTTTTCTATAACAGTTTAGCAATTGATAGCAACGAAGTCACATTCAGGATGTCTAGGCTGAAAAGAAAGATGCAGAAAGCGCTGATTTTATATCCTTGTTCTTTCCCAGCCCAATCAGGCACTTTTATCCTCCCCTCTTGGCAGGCTCTCTTTAAGCCTGTATTTTTACGTAGGCTTAATTATGCTTTTGTTAACTTACTTTGTTTTGTCTGTTATATTATTTATGGTTTCTATTTTCACAATCTGTTTCTTCTCTTAATTCCTTTTTCTAAAACCTTTCCCTCCCATCTGCTTTTACTTACCATTAAATGCTGTATGTTTGCACAGAGACAAATATATCAATGTTCTTATTTGAAGCAGCTGACAGTTTTATACAATATACAGTTGATCTTTAAACAACTTGGGTTTGAATTGCATGTATCCACTTATGCATAGATATTTTCCCCAATAAACCCATAGGCTCTCAGCCGGCTTTACATCCATGATTCAACCAACAGTACATATTATTTTCGATCAATGGATACAAAGGGTCAACTGAGCATCCTCAGATTTTGGTATTCAAGGGGGTCCTGAAACCAGTCTTCATTGGATACCAACGGCGGACTGTATTTTATGCAACTCTGAGGAAAGACAATTACCATGGAAGATCAAAAACAGTTGTTTTACCTGCATTTAAAAATTCTGCCATATCTGTCATGCCCTGCTGCCATAAGATTCCTTTCATATCTACCACAAACTAACCCGTGGCAAATCCTATTCTCACTTGGGAATTTCCCACCGTATTCACATTGAATGCAATAAAGTGAAAAAATTTTACTAATTGCTTCTTTAGCTTTTTCAATTAAAATATTAAATGCCATTTATAATTTAGTTTAATATACAGAAGTATACAAAATAAAATACAAATTATGCATGCCACTACACTGAAAACTCTATTAATATTAAAAATAAATTAATATATTTAGATAATAGAAAATTCAAATAGTATTGACAAATATAATATGAAAATCTGGCTTTTTCTTCTGCTTCACTGCCCTGTCTCTCCTCCTTAAAAGTAACCTCTGTTAGTGGTTTCACATTACTTGTTTCAGAAACATTTATATATACATACCAACATTCCATGTTTTTGTCTTGTATTTCACCACTCAATTTCATTCATTAAAAAATAGTTGAGCATCTATTCAATATCAAGTAGAATTTAGAGCCCTGGAGATAACAGCAGTGAACAAAACAAAAAGTCTCTCTTCTCATGACATTAGAATCTAGGTGAGAAAAAGAAACCAAATAATATAAAATAAGTAAACAAGGATGCCTTCAGTTTTTTCAAAATGCTATAAAGGAATTAAATAGAGGGGACTGATATTGGTGATGCTGTTAGGTAAGGTGGTTACTAAGGCTTCTGGTTGAAGAGTTTATTAAATTCAACTGAAACATGGAGTGTCTCAATTAATGCTTGACCTGTGCTCTTTTTACTTCTGCAGGTGAAGCCCCACCTGCCATCCAGTTGCCCACACCTGCAGTCCAGCGTCTAAGCCCCATCACACTTTTCCAGCCTGCCGTCTCCAGTACTGCCCAGGTGGCTGTCCAGGCTCCAAATCTGCCTCTCCGGCCAGCACTCTCACCCCAGCGCTTTGCTGGGCCCTCCCAAACGGACACTCATCAGCTGCATTCTGGAGCCAGTCACTCTGTAAAGAGACCTACACCTGTCTCTCCGGAGAGCACCAATAGGATTCCAACTAGTGCAAGTACTGCCCACGCCAGATTTGCAACCTCGCCCATCCAACCTCCCAAGGAGTATCCAAGCGTTTCCACTTGTCCCAGAGGTGCTCCAATCCCTCAGGCTCCTCCTCTTCCACACTCACACGTCTACCAGACCCCTGCCCTTGGCCATCCAGCCACACTATTTGGGACACCACCTCGATTCTCTTTTCATCATCCTTACTTCCTGCCTGGACCTCACTACTTCCCATCAAGGTAAATGACCTTTTATTTCTTTTCACCTACAAATACGTCTAATGAATTTTTACTTCTGAAGGCATCTCTCTCTCTTTTTTTTTTAATATATATTTTATTGACTTTATACAGAGAGGAAGGCAGAGAGATAGAGAGTTAGAAACATCGATGAGAGAGAGAGTCATCGATCAGCTGCCTCTTGCACACCCCCTACCGGGGATATGCCCGCAACCAAGGTACATGCCCTTGACCGGAATCGAACCCGGGTCCCTTCAGTCCCCAAGCCGACGCTCTATCCATTGAGCCAAACCGGTCCCGGCTGAAGGCATCTCTTTTTTACTGAAAAGGGGACTTTCTCAATTCTGCTTGGAATCTAATTTAGATTAGAGGCTGAATAGGGGCCAAGCAGTTAACATAAATACGTGAAGGGGGCTAAATAAAGACTGGGGGAGCCAAAGAAAGTATATGCCCCATCTAATGGGGCAATTGCTTTAGCTCTAGCCAACTGTTGCCACATGAAATATGGGTGCCAGTATTGCCAGATCTGATTTTCCGTGAGAAAATAGTTATAATGGACCTTAAGATTATTTAGTCATCCCCCTTTCTGTATAGACCTGGGTTTCTCAAATATTATATGTATATGAGTAATATGTGATCTTGTTAAAATGCAGCTTCTAAGTTGGTAGGTCTGGTGTATTTCGTTTAAGAATGTCAAAGCAGTAGGTCAGCTATAAACATTAAACTGCATATAGTTTTCCAAAAGAGAAGACCAGCCTTGTAAATTATAACATTGTTTGCTTTTTTAACTTCTACATGTATGTATGTATGTATCTGATGATAATTTCCCCAAGGAAATGGATAATCTTACTAATACTTGTTTAGATAGCATATTTCAGTAAAATCCAGCCTGCCTAAATAACAAATTTAATTGAGTCCCCCTCAATTTTCTTACTGTTTCTGCTCCCAACTGATAACAGAATCTTCTATAAAGAATATTCTCCTCTCCTCTAATCTATTCATGTGTGGAATTATTCAATCATTTCAATACCATAATTGAAATGACATTTGCTATACATATCAATTATATAAATATATATCACATATAAATATTTTCCAGAAGTCCATTCTGTCCTGTATATCTAAAGTAAAAATCTAAGAGGTTAACCAATATAATCAAGGAGTTATTTTATAAAACACAAGGACTTAGAAGTACTGATCCCTAGCTCTGAGAGCTAACATTTTTCTCCTTTCAAATCTTAAATCTTAACCATCTTTATGCTGTGCTTATTGAAACAATCTCTTCCTGTACTACATTAATTTCTCAATTAATAAAATAAAGTTTAGTTCTTTTTTTTATCCCCTCACCTTTTCACCACTTCTTTCTCCTCCTTATAGTATTTATAGTTTTATAAAAAAAAAGACATCTAAGATATTTTCTTGTTCACCATTGAGTAAATAAGTTTAAAAGTTTATTGAAATTATGTATATAAAAAGGATGTAAAAGACAAATGTTAGTTTAAAATATATAGAAAATATTATCATATATATTTATGCATATATATCATATTCACATACATACATATATGTAAATGTATGGGAAGGTAAGTCCAAATAATTCCCAGGTTTATAAGAATATATAGAATCTTTACTGTAAAATTTCAAAACAACATATCAAGATTAAAAGCAATTATTCTTTACCTTTGTTTGGGTTATAAGTCTATTTAAGAATTTGATTGAAGTTGTGGGCCATTTCCCATAATAATGCACATCTACAGATATATACAGTGTTTTGCATAAATCTTATGGAGGAGGTAACTTAAAGGCTCCAAACAAATATGTTAGACTTAGCTAACATGGAATACCTTCTGCTGTAACTATCTAGAAATATGAAACTTACATGTTAACAATGTAATACCTACCTGAACTTATCATTTCTTTTGCTGTGTGGAAGTTTTTTAGTTTGATGTAGGGACATGTGCTTATTTTTGCTTTTGGTATAAAATTCAAAATATCATTGCCAAGGCCAATGTGAAGGAGCTTACTGCCACTGTTTTCTTCTTAGAATTTTATGTTCTTATTAGAGGCCCGGTGCACAAATTCGTGTACCAGTGGGGTCCCTCCACCTGGCCTGCAGGATTGGGCCGAAACCAGCTCTCTGACATCCCCCAAGGGGTCCTTGATTGTGAGAGGGCACAGACCAGGCCAAGGGACCTCACTGGTGCACGATCGTGAGGGGGAAGAAGGGAGCGATGTGGGAAGTTGGACAGCTGGAGAGGGACCGTGGGAGGACTCCAGGGCATGTCTGGCCCATCTGACTCCGTCCTGATTGGCCAGACCCCAGGAGCAAGCTAACCTATCAGTTGGAGCGTCTGTCCCCTGGTGGTCAGTGCACGTCATAGCAAGCGGTTGAGCAGCTTTAGCATATCATTAGCATATTATGCTTTGATTGGTTGAATGGATGATCAGACAACCAGGCACTTAGCATATTAGGCTTTTATTATATAGGATGTTTAAATCTTTAATCCATTTTGAGTTGATTTTTGTGTTGTGATATAATAGAGGGGTCCAGTTCCATTCTTTTGCATGTGGCAATCTTCCACTTATTGAAGACATTATTTCCCTTCATATATTCTTGGTTCCTTTGTCATAAGTTAACTGATCATACACATGTGGGCTTATATCTGGGCTCTGTATTTTATTCCATTGACCTGGTATCTATTTAATGATAATAACATACTATTTTGATTATGTCCATTGACTATGTATTAATTTAATGATAATAGCATACTGTTTTGATTATGTAGCTTTGTAATATAATTTTAAACTAGGGAGTATCATGCCTCCATATTTGTTGTTCTTTGTCAAGATTGCTTTGGCTATTTGGAGTCTTTTTTGATTCCATTCAAATTTTAAAATTGTTTGCTCTGTGTCTCTAAAAAAAAAAAAATGCCATTGAAAGTTTGATAGTCATTGCATTGAATCTGTAGGTTGCTTTGGATAGTGTGGAAATTTTAATTACTATTTATTCCAGTCTATGAACATGGAATATTATCCCATTTATTTGTGTTTTCTTCAATCTCTTTATTGGTGTCTCATAGATTTCAGTGTTTTAATCTTTTACCTCCTTGGTTAAATTTATTCTTAGGTATTTTATTCTTTTTGATGCATTTATAGATGGGATTATTTTCTTAATTTTTTTGAGATTTTGTTATTTGTGTATAGAAACACAACTGGTTTTTGTTTATTGATTATCCTGCAAATTTATTGAATTAATTGATTAGTTCCAACAGTTTTTTGGGTGGAATCTTTAGAGATTTCTATATATAATGTCATCTACTAATAGACAGTTTTATGTTTTTTTTCTTGCCTAATTGCTTTTGCAATAACTTTTAATACTATGTTGAAAAAAAGTGGCAAGAGTTGTATCTTTGTCTTATTTCAGCTTTTTAATGTTTTCTGTGAATACTTAACTTTAAATAATGGATAGAAAACTATACATCCAAAAATGGGATGAAGATCAGTAATGAACTAGAAGACTGTACAATACTTTGAACCAAGTGTGTCTGTGTGTGTGTGTGTGTGTGTATAAAATACTTCATCTAACAATAAGATATATAATTTTCTCAAATGCACATGACATATTCTGTAGGATAGACTATATGTTAGGTCACACGATAAGTCTCAAAAACTTTAAAATATTGAAATCATACATAGTTTCTTTTCCATTTATGATGGAATAAAACTAATAATAATATAAAGAAAACTGGATATGGAAATTAAACAACACACTCTTAAACAACCAATGGTCAAATAAGCCATCATGAAGAAATTTAAAAATACTTTGAGAAGTATGAAAATGAAAATATAACATATGAAAACGTAAGGGATTTTATAGTGAAAGCAGTGCTGATAGAAAAGTTTATAACAGCAATGACCTATATTTAAAAAGAAAGATCTCACCCAACTAGTGTGATTCAGTGGTTGAGCTTCAACTTATGAACCAGGAGGCCACACTTGGATTCCCAGTCAGGGCACATGCCTGGGTTATGGCCTCAATGCCCACTGAGTGGCATGCAGGAGGCAGCCAATCAATGATTCTCTTTCATCATCGATGTTTCTCTCTCTCTCTCTCTTTGTCTTCCTTCCTCTCTCTCTAAAATCAATAAAAACATGTATTTTTTTTTTAAAAAAAGATCTTAAATCAACAACCTAACTTTATACCTTAAGAAAGTGAAAAAAGAAGAGCAAAGAAAACCCAAAGCTAGCCCTGACGGGTTTGGCTCAATGGATAGAGCATTGGCCTGTGGACTGAAGGGTCCCAGATTCGATTCCAGTCAAGGGCATGTGCCTTGGTTGCGGGCACATCCCCAGTAGGGGGTGTGCAAGAGGCAGCTGATTGATGTTTCTCAGTAAAAAATCAATATATTAAAAAAGAAAAGAAAAAGAAAACCCAAAGCTAGCAGAAGGAAGGAAATAATAATGATTTGAGATAAACGAAAGGCTAGAAAAACAATAGAGAATTTCATGAAATAGGGAAAAGTCAACAAAAGTTGATTTTTTGAAAAGATCAATAAAATTGACAAAACCTTTAGCTATAATAGACTAAGATTAAAAAAAAAGAAGAAGAAGAAGAAGAAGAAAGAGCCGAAACCGGTTTGGTTCAGTGACTAGAGTGTTGGCCTGCGGACTGAAGGGTCCCAGGTTCGATTCCAGTTAAGGGCATGTACCTTGGTTGCGGGCACATCCTCAGTGGGGGGTATGCAAGAGGCAGCTGATCGGTAATTCTCTCTCATCGATATTTCTAACTCTCCCTCTCTCTTCCTCTCTGTAAAAAATCAATAAAAAATATATTTTTTTTAAAAAAGGAAGAAAACATATATCCCTGACCAAGTAGCTCAGTTGGTTAGAGTGTCATTCCTGTATGCCAAGGTGTTGTGGGTTTGATCTCAGGTCAGGGCACATACAGAGGTCAACCAATGAATGCATATTAGTAAGTAAATGAAAGAATAAATTGATATTTT